GTCATCACACGACCCAGGTTCCCGCGCTCAACACCCGCTCAAAAGGAACGCTGGGCTGATTCCCTCGTTCTTTTTCCCCACCATCTTCCCGCCCATTCACCTCCCTCCGGTGGTTAAGTCGTGGGCTCTCGGCTTTATTGGAACACATCAAAGTCGTTCACAAGATGTCTGCTTCAAGACCAAGATCCAAGAATGTTGCTCCTCTCAATCTGTAGTCTACTCGACGTTTCTGTGTACATCAATACGCTCTTTCGGCGCCGTTAAAGGATCAATCCTCTCGTATTCTCGGTGAACATCAAGACTGACCACAAACTCAACGTCAAGTCCGCTGATGTTCGCAATCTAACGACCTTTCTACCTCCCGCTTCAACGCACGGCTCATATCCCGTCGGATCAAGTCCTCCGCAAGAGCTTCCTTCACACCATCAAGAGCGCCGAATACGCGATGCTCGACCCCACTTCCAATTCACGGTTCAATCTCACTCCCCTCCGTATGTTGTTCACCTACTCCGAATCCGAACCGCCTTCTATTTCGTTCCGCCTCTGCTAGCTGCCGCAAGATTCTCCAACCTCAATCGGCAAGATTGCTCAAGGCCGCTTCCCCAGGACGCTCAAGCCATTCAAGATGTATTATCGAACGCCAGAGTCGCAATGTTGGGGCGATGCATTCCGTTTGGCCTTTACCCCCTCCATCTCCCTCTCTGTACCGCCGACAGTCGTCTCTTTCCCCATCTGTAGTGTTCTATGGACGCCTGCGTGTCACTAATGCCCGCCGATGATTTCTTCTGGACAGATTCATTTTAAACGGTGCGTACATGTGACCTGGGTTTCGACCGAATATTAAATACGCCTGCTTTTATTGAACAGACGTGGCCAGCGCTATCTTACGCAGTGCACCGAGGATTATTTGACTGTGCTGTTCGTATGTGGTTTAATAACATGGATGCAGGTGATAACGGACGCGACAGGAATTACAGACTGATGTCGCCTTTCTTGAGGTTCAACAACATGTATCGCATGAGCCCATTGTCACAATGTCTTCCGGCCATGCACACTGCACTCATGGTATGTCCATCATCTTCGATTCGGCATTGGTGCTCAACACCTCTCATGTCTCCCTTTTCATTTCTCACCGGAGTCCTGCTGAGGCAACCACGCAGCTGCGGCGCCGAACGATCGCGCTTAGAGTCTGTATTCGCTTCACGGCGACACCCTCCCCACTCATGAGTCATGTCAGAACTTGCAAAGGTCGGGTATATTTAGTATATTTATGACGATTCAGCCTACACACATATATCGTGTTCGCCCGTCAGTACATGGATTTAAGTTCGTACTCCAATCCATCTCGACTCAATGTGCGATGTGCCTTCGCCATTTCCGCCGGAGCGAAGCGAAGGCATGTCTTGTTGTTGTTAAGGAAATGGGTATCGCGGGGTAAGCAATAACCCTGAATGGATTGGTCTTACTGAATGTAATACCTTTCTGAGAGGGAATATGACTTATATTTGGGTTCAAATACTGGAGCCTTTATATAATCAGTGACACACAAGCTTTCACCAATAAAGTCTTAGATTTAAACCAGAGCTAGCGTCGTAGTTCAAATATGTAAGGCTGCTGTCAAAGCGAAGGGAATAGATGAGCACTGGCAGCCCGGGTTGAAGTAGCGGTAAGTGAAGGTATCCCGGTGGTTGGATTGCAAGTAGTAGATGATGAGATTGGATAGAGGCAGAGGTCAAGCCTCTTATATACTGCTAGCTACTGAGTGAGTCACAATCAAATGACTCAGACTAACTCGAAAGTGACTCCAACCTACACTAAGCACTGGAATTGCGGGACCTGAGTCAGAAAGGCTGTAGGTTGAACCATGAGAAATAAATACTAAATATGAGGCATGTAGGCTAAAACACGAGATAAATAATTGCCCATCTACCCAAAAGTGCCAATATCCATCGCAATCGTTCGGGGATCTGACTTCCCTTTTTGGCACTTGTTTTTGAGTGCTTCCTTGGCAACATATGGGTGTTACTACTCCTACTGTGTGGTGCACTGTAACCACAGAAATGGTGTGACAGCAATCTGCCTTCATGTACAGGAAGAGACGGGCGCAGCACAGGGATAAGCAAATATAGCAGGGCCCCGGGTATCGGGTCTCAAAAATGAGTTATTTGACTAGCAATTTGATCCTTCCCATTTCCAAGGCATCAGAACTCGAATTCCCCCTTAGACTCACCAAACGAGGTGTTGAAGCTGAAGGATTTAGACGCCACGCAGATGCCGTGAATGCTGGCTGCCTTGCAGTTGCCTATACCTTCAGCCCGTGCTTTCTGATATCATTGATGGGTTCTCCCTGGTGTACTTGAGAAATATTATGTAAGAATCCATAGGAGCTTGGTTTAATCCGCGGCCATTGGAACATTAATCCAGGATGAAAGCAGAGATTATTGAATCCGGATTAATTGGGCTGGGGGCTTGACAGGCGGGCGGGACTTCAGTAACCCTGGGAGCTCTGTTTAATTCGCGGCCGTTGTGAGGCGGTGCTTATGCGGAAGTTGAACCAGATTAAAGATTCAAGAGCTGTTTAAACAGGGCCCTAGACACAAATATTTTTTAGCACCCAGGTTCGAACAAGTGGTGCTACATTTAGGGCATTATACTTGAAATCATTCTGCCATGCCTTCCACATTGATATTGGTATATATAATTGATGTTACATTATATTGGGGTTAAATTGTAGGTGCTCTTCAATGCTGTCTAATAGGAGTCGGCTGCCGTGTCAATTGGAAAGTATTTCTCCATTCCTATGTAATGAGGAAGGATTACAGAATTTGAAGACACCAGTCAAATGAACACTCCACAAAGGTTTCAGCAATGATCAGGTGAAATGGATTCACCAATGTCAGGATGAATCGGGCAGTGTCGGGATTCAACAAGGATTAATGATGATTCAACAAGGGTTAATAAGGATTAAACAAGGATTAATCAGGATTAAACAAGAATTAAACATGAACTTCATGGATGATTAAAAGGGACACCATCTTTGAAAAAATACACTGAAGATGACAAAGTGCTTGTTAGATTGATATATCAGACTTCAATTTCTTGTGGTGGGTGTTCTCAGTGGTCAACAAATAACTTCAGTGTCAAGGTGTCTTGCATCCAAGTTGACTTAGAGAAAATTGGACACCAGACCAGGCCTGTGGACCATTATTAGTGCTAATACTTGGCGACACATCATGCTGTCTTCGGGCAACGGTTAATGCTCGTACTGTTTTGTAATGTGCAATCTTTCCGCGCTGGGTTCGAACCGCATTCATCCGGATTTGATAATCTCTGCTTTAATCCCGGATTAACGTCTCAACGCTCCATGATTAAGCAAAGCTCCTAGGGTTGCTGATTATGTACATTCAACCTTAGTGTCAAGATCTTGCACCGTCTCTACCATCGTTGATCTCGCTCCTCTGTTTCCGAGCCATCAAGTCCATAGCTTACCCTCCACTCGTACTCTTCAAGGACAACACTCCCTTGATCCTCATTTAAGGGCTTCAGCTACACAGTTCAACTTCCAGATGGGAGTTGCTATCGACCACCGGACACTCCGGACGCATTCACATTCAGACACGATATAGCCGGGGACGAGCAGCACCCGCCGCGCACCACACCACGATACATGCAGCCCAGAAACAACGCCCGCCCTCCGCGCAGATGACGAACGACTCTGCGCGAGACCAGCATACGAGGCTCGCCGCCTACCCGCGCCGCACCCCTTCTAGATCTGCGCAGAAACCCGATACGACATGGATAGCGGACCCTGCTCGCGCACCGCCATTTTGAGCGCCACACCCCGACCGATCCTCCAGGAGGTGCTGCCCGAGAGCCCTATGGTCAGGATTCTCGAGCACCGCACGCCGATGCTCCGTTCGCCCCACCGCCGGACACCATGCCACCAACTAAAATTTGTGAGCGCGGGGGCGACTCGTCAACTGTGGATGTCTGCATCAGGGATTTCCCTAGCTTCTAAGAACTCCCAATCTGTATCGCGGCTTAAGCGGGTCAGCGCTGCAGCTCATGAATATTTCACTCTGGCTCTCAGCGAGAAAACATACAAGGAGCGCAAGAAAGGCGCTCAAAGCACTACCCCACAGCCGCCAAATTACATCTAGCCGCCGCTTTCTCCTACCCAAACCCCGTGTCCGGACCGTCGCTTCCACCAACCTCGCGCGAAAATGTAGGTCTTCTCGCATGATTCCGTTCTCTACTGATATATCCTGTCGTGGTAATGTCCATTCAAGTGCGTACACACACAACACGAAGAAGGCCCGGTAGCAGATGGTCCGCGCCCTCATGAGCTTGTTTGAAATACTAGCACTCTGTATGCGGGAGGTTTCGCTCGTTCGATTCGAGCCCGGGCCTCGATGATCGGCAGGATTTTATCCCTTTTTTATCGAAATCACCCACATTTAAAACATCTGCGCAGGTGATACCAGGAAGGTCCGGTAGCGGATGGTCCGTGCTTGCATCCCATCATTTCCAGACCACAGTTCCGCGGGAGTCGCTCGTTCGCATCGAGCCCAGGCCTTGATTCGGTGCTGCTCAGTTTTTTCTCGTTTTTCCCTCTCTAGCATCCCACTCAATGCTGCGCGCAGGTAATCCAGGGAAGGCCCGGTAGCGGATGGTCCGTGTCTGCATTCCATGCATCCATGGCCTGCAATTCTGCAGGCGCCGCTCGTTCAATTCGAACCCGAGCCCTATATAATCCAGTCTTCCCATTGCTTTTTTCACCCTCCCTGCGAAACAATGCCCGTCTAATTTCCTGCGCAGAAGATACCAGAAAGGCCCAGTAGCGGATGGTCCGCGCCTGCCTTCCATAGCTGGAAACCCTCGTTGTTCGCAGGAGCCGCTCGTTCGAATCGAGCGTGGGTCATATTCTGGTCTTTGTGATTTTCACCCCTCTTTTCTGTGAAACAATGCCCACATAATTTGTGCGTAGGTGGTTCAGGAAAGGCCCGGTAGCGGATGATCTGCGCTTGCATCCAATAATTCACAAATTTCGGGGTTCGCAGGAGTCGCTCGTTCGAATCGAGCCCGGGCCTTGGTCGTCGAGAGATACGATCTTTTCCTCCTTTTTCCCTCTGAGGATGCCATTCAATAGATTTCGTGCGCATGTAAAAGCAGAAAGCCCCGGTAGCGGACGGTGCGTCCCTGAATCCCTTCACCACTTCCATCCGGGATCACTCTACCCCCTTTCACCCCATCCATCGCTATGCAAGCGCCGCCACTATCCGCATAACATAAAAAGCTCAAGTTGACGAGAAAAGCACGGACATGGGTGCGGCTTTTCGGATCATTGCTTTTTTTAGCAAGCCGCCCAATGCGACGATACACCTCGTCCCCCATAGTCCACGTAGCCCACGCAATTAAACAAGGGCGTGCATATCGAATATCATCGAGTGGTTTGTGGGGTGAGAAGGCGGCAGAAACCTGATCAGGGTACTTCCGTTTTGGCTGACTTTGTGGGTGATCATATATAAGCGCGAATAGATCGGCCATTTGAAGGTAGAGGCTACCTGTAGGAATGCTGTGACTGAAGCTGTGTGTCGGGGTGTTCGAAGGTCGGCATCAGAGCCATGGTCATGGGAGAGGGCGGCAAGAAAGTGCTGAGATTGTGGAAGCCATAGGAGGTTAACACATCATCAACTTTCTCCCATTGTGTGCGCATGGGGGTACGGAGAGGTACCGAGTACTAGATGTGGATGAGATGGTGGTGATAGGAGTCTGAGGTGTTGAAAAGGATCCAGGATTAGATCCAGGCGGAGTCTAGTTGTTACCGCGGGGTCGGATCGTGTAGCCGCGTTATTACTGATCTCACATAAGCAAGCCGCACGTGCTGCTTTGACGCTTCTTGTCGGGACCCTCGAGACCGCTTTTCTCTTTCCTCACTCGTCCCCACTGCACCGAGCACACGCAGCCACGCGTAATAAGTCCATCCAATGGATCCTAGAGCCCAACATCTCCCTCGGCCGCGTCTTAATCGCAATTACCTCACACCGCTCGACGCGAACCCGATCATTCCGCGCCCACCAGCCGACACTGATTCGTATAGACCTTCCTCTGCTCCTATATTCGCTTCTATCATTCCGTTGCCACCTCCTCCGCTCCGCGGCTTCCACAACCCTTCGCGCATCAGCAACCGCGTCTATGTAAAGCGAAACTCACAGCAGAGCAGAAATTGCACAAGAAATTCAGAGCCATGGAAAAGCTCCTGAAAGAGTATCCTTTCCGAAATCTCGGCCAGTTTTTGGCCATATTGTTCCATAATCCCATTCGTGGTGAGCCTGATCCCGCGGAACGAAGCACAGTCGTGTCATTGCTCGTTTTCTCCGAGGCCGGACGAATATCAAGATGTCCGACATCCTTCCCCTTATCTACAGCCACAAGGCCAGTTATCCCGCGAGTAAATCTGCCGATGTCCACGAGCAGAAGGAGATGTTTGCGACTACGCGCCCTGCCGATCAAATCCACCACGCACGTCCCTTCATATCTACTTGGGCAACTCGTCTCGTTGCCTTTGAGGGACGCAAGCAAGTTGGACGCAGTGCTCGGAATGACCCAGATGACCCCGAGCGTCGAGACAATCTACGGCGCAAATAATGGTCGCAAGGAAGGGGTGCAGGTAGTTTCTTGGCCAGCCGTCCTCTCCCACTTCAACCTGTGCCATATCGGAACCCAATACTGCATTTGACTACCTCCGGTTTGGTTTTTTACTGAGGTTTGGTCTGCACCGGTTTGTCCGGAAGAGCAGGCCACACCCCATCGTATGTCTTTCTGGTTCTAGAAGTACTTATTCCGGTGGCTTAAATTCCTTCAGATTCAAGTCGGCGCGATTGCAAGCTTCATTCTATCGCGGAATCGCTACGCTAACGGCAATCTCCGATGGTTCTCGGCCTCTGGCACTTTGCGTGCAAATCCACGTGGACGTGAAACGCGTCTTCTGCAGGTTCGGCTACGGTGTCAGCGATTCAACTGCGAGGAGCGCGCTGAATACAATGACGGATGCTAGTCTTCATGAACTTCGAGAAAAGATCAAAGATGCAACTTCTCGAGGCCAGACGGAGAATGCCCTATTGCTCGACAACGTTCAGGAGTATTGTGATGTATACGAGCAGGGTATTGGATGCCTCAGCGAATTGAAGGTGGGGACCGCGGGGACGAATCTTGACTTGGATGACTGTGCTCCTGGAGCATTCGACGCAGAACCGTATTACAACAAGGTAGCTCAACAAGAGCGTAAAACCCTCACGACCGGCAGCCTATTCGATGATATAAATTGGCCGCACCTACGCATTGCTATTCCCTTCATTGGACACAGACTCTCGTCGAATTCACCATCGATTTCCACCCGCACATGCTCAAGGATGTTATCGCGATGATTCGAGAGGAACCTTTGGCACTACATCGCATGCGCAAGGGTCGTAAAACGGGTTGCCAACCGTTGAAGACTAACGCGAGCGTTCAACGTCTCTGCAGGGGTTTGAACGAGCAGTAGACGATTTTATACTCAAAGAGGGATCGACTCGAGGGATCCAGGGAATTGCTTTCATGGATTCGGGGAGATGGAGCATCATACGCGAATGCTCTGCGTCTCACGACGCTATGCACTCCTCAGGGCACGTTCAAGAACAAGATCGCGACACCGGAAATATGGCACACCGGTGCAACGGATCTGAACTCCACCGCTGCGAACCACTATGGTCCATCAACTTCCCTCGACCCATCATCTCTCTCCAAAGCCTCAAATATTGCAGGTCTTAAACGCCCCTCCAACATCAAGAGTTGTGATTACTATCCTCCTGTGCGCAATTTGACGCTAATCTGGAAAGCTCATGTGCTCGATTGTTGGCGGTACGCCCTATATCCTCGTCGTGTGTTCATTCTCTGAATCATCACAGTTTTTTTTCGAAACCGACGACTTGCATGCATATTTTCGCAACCTCGCGAGTACAAATCAATTGCCGCCCCTGGAGGAGCTTTTAGGATATGCCATGGTGCTCGTAGACCGTTATGCGACTCAATCTGCGATTCAGGCGTCTCTACTAGCTTCGGAATCGCTAGACCCGGCCCGCGGAAATAAAGTTCCTGCAGGCAGCGACTGGGAAGCGCCAACACACACTAATCTCGCGGATTCTGCGAATAATGATGAAATCTCCCAGATCTCGTGGACATTGCAGAACCCGAACCGCGGGCTAATCCGGTACCACCAAAATCCGATGATGCACCCAAGTTCCACGAGGAGAAAGAGGGTTTTACCGGCGATCGCTGTTACGCAACAGTCAGATTTTCCTCCAGGACTTTGGCTGGTGGATCGAATTCAGCAAGGCCGTCCCGGAGGGTGACATTGGACGGGTTTGGGAAATAGTGAAGGTTCGTTTTATTGGAGTTCTAGGAGCTTTAACTGAAATGAAATCTTCGTCAGCTATGGATTTTCAAATTCGCCGGATCGTCGCACCAGAACTACGTGAACTATCTTCTCGAGGTATATTGTATGCTTCGATATGAAGCGTCCAAAGACCTCAAGAATGTGATCTTGAATAACTGGCTCCTCAATATCAAGGGTGAGCTCGGCAAATGGCTCCCTGCCGACTTCGTCAAGAGCACTACAACAAATGGCTCGAGGATATGATTCAGAAGCACGGCGGCGAATTTGACAGCAAGTTTTACCGTCAGACCATCTCGCCGAACGTCCACCATTTTCTTCAGATCAAGGAGGAAGTTGAAACCGCCTTCGAATTGGAGCCTCGCGGCAAGACCCATACCTCACCTGGTGTTCAGAGCGAGTTGCACCTTCTCCTGACCGTTTTCAAGGAGGAGGAGGTGCATGTATTTTGTTCTGGGCGCAGTATGGGTCATGCTGCTGTGAACCAGTTCGCGCGAGGGTGGCGTCGCCTTGAGGAGGGCAAGATGGAGGATTTTCTTACTAAATCAACCGTTCCAGGGGACTTTCTTGCGCAAATTCGAAGCCGAGACACTGCGACCAGTTCCGAGCGACGATCCGACACACCCTCGGACGAAAATACGGAGATCCGCGTCGATTCACCTGTAGCGAAGATTATCATGAACACGTTACAATTCCCCAGCACGAGTGTTCCCAGCAGTGAATGCTCCCGTGGGAGTGCTGAAGTGCGGGCAGTTATCGCTCATCGATTTCAGAAAGCATAGATCCCAACGAGCCGGAAGATGACGGCGAAGACCTGAGCAATTCAAAGCTACGCAGTACCTCTGTCGAAGAAGCGGGGCTACAGGAAGAGAATGGAGAAGGGGATAATGAAGAGCACAGCGACGACGATGGAGAGCTCGAACTTGATCGGAGGGCGAGGTGGAGGACAAAAGTGATGACTGCGAAGCGGAGGAAGATGGAGAGGGGTATCCAGACTCGGGGGAAGAGCGCGATTCAGACTCGGATTCCAGCCCAGAGGATTACAATTAAATTATGACCTTCTCCCTCGCTCCCTGGGCTTGTACTGGCGTCCATACTCCTGCGATGTTTCAGCTGCACTCTTGAGTCCTTGTCGTGGCCGTTTTACATTGGTGATTGTTTCCAGCGCAGTTCCCCTGTTACTTTCAGCAGATTTTGCGCCGCGGGAGCGAGTGGATCTGTGTGGGATTGGGATACTTTCCGGAGTGATGAGTCGGACTCGATAGAAATGTCCTCCGCAGCGCTGCTCTCCTCCGAGAGGTCTGAAACTTCTTCGATTTTCCGCTTCCGAGCCCTCTTTGACGAGTGCGGCATTCGGGCAATTCGGGCTTCATTGCGCTCGTCCTTGACATCAGCTTGGATGTCCTGGATCACCTTATACAACGCAGCGCAGTAGGCTTCCCGATGACGCCAGGTCTGGACGAGTAGTTCCAGTGAGTAACGAGAGGAAATCGAAAGGAGTTTATCAAGAATAAGAGTTTGAATAGAGGACGGGAGAAACATTGTTTGTGGATGTTCTAGGAAGCTTCCGCGTCGGTGTTCCTGCAACAAATTGAGTTCCGGAATTTTTTGAGTCGGGTCGTGGCGCTCTCGCGCTATTTTTTAGTTAGCCTCAGCTGT